CAGCCTCCTGCTGGATGGAGAAGAGGCGGAGCTGCTTGCCGAGGGCGCGGTGGTCCCGCCGCTTCGCCTCCTCCTGGATCCGCCTGTGCTCCGCCAGCTGCTCCGCGCTCTCCCACGCGGTGCCGTAGATGCGCTGCAGCATCGGCCTCGCCTCGTCGCCCCGCCAGTACGCGCCCGCGATCGACTCGAGGTCGATGGCGTCCTTGGGCAGCTGGCCGGTGTGCTCGACGTGCGGGCCGGCGCAGAGGTCCCACCAGTTCGCCTTTTGAGGGCGAGGGGCGGGTGCGGAGGGCGGAGGGCGAGGGCGAGGGCGAGGGCGAGGGGTGGGGTGTGTCGTGGCCTGTGTCGTGGCCTGCCGGCGGGGGGCATGTGGGAGGGCGAGCAGAGGAGGGCCGTGGGGTGGGGTGGCGTCACAAGTCAGGGGTGTGTGGTGGCGCGCCTTGCCGGGCTCCCCGATGTGGAAGATGGTGATGGGCGCGTCGGGGTCCTTTGCGACGATCGAGTCGAGGATCTCCAGCTTGTACGGCTCGTCCGCCGCCTCGATCCGCGCCTTTGCCTCGTCGAAGCTCAGCTCCTCGCGCCTGCGGCGGGAGAGGACACGCCGAGGCGAGGCGCGGTCGAGGTGCGGCCGAGATGCGGCCGAGGTGCGGCTCAGGCTGCCGAGGTGCGGCTCAGGCTGGGGCATGCTGTCGCGCCGGAACGGCAGCTTGAGGCCGATGAGCTTGTCCATCTCCTTCTTGATGCGGCGCAGGTCCTTCTCCGCAAAGGGCTCGGGCCGGTCGAAGTCGTAGTAGAAGCCCTTCTCGATCCACGGCCCGATCGTCACGCGCGCGTCCTTGTACAGCCGCTGCACCGCCATCGCCATGACGTGCGCCGTCGAGTGCCGGATGCGGAGCAGCTGCTCGTTAGCGTTGGTCGGCAGCGGGACCGGCGCGGGCGGCGCCGGAGCCTCTGCTACCGCGCTCTGGTCTGCCATTCGCAGGCCGCTGCAGCGACGGCTGCCCATGGCCGGTGCTGCGAGCAGGCGCGGCAGAGCCGCTGCCGCACGCCCGCACGTGCTAGCCGGGAGGCGGCGAGCTGCTGCGGCAGCGTTGAGGGCGGCCGAGCGGGCCAGCAGCGCCGACATCAGAAAACCGCCTAAACTGAGGCCAGGCAGCAACCGCATGCAGGGATGAGCGGACTGGAAGGCTGAAGCGGAGCAGCGAGCGAAGGCAAGAGCTCGCCGCAGCTTCCAAGAACGCGGCGCGATTTTCTTTTTAATGAGCTTAGCCTTCGATGTTGAAACAAAGCAAGGCGGACATGGCATATCGCTCTCGGGCCCACAGACGTCCCGCACGAATTTCTTTTCGAAGAAAAAAGAAAGCGCGCTGCTGCTCACAGCCGACGGCCAAAATAGGAGCGGTGCGCAATCACGAACTGGCTCGCGTGGCGTGAACACAACGTGTCGGCATCGCGCCTCGCCCTCGGGGGAGGGGAGGACCGGGAGATGCGGCCCGAGGCCGAGCACTGATTCTCTGAGACTCGCTGTGTTTCTTTCCTTACCCTGGCCAGTGTTGTACAAAAAAGAAGCGCAGCGGGTGAGGAGCAGGATCGCCACGCGCGAGACCCGGCCTCAAGCTCCGCTCAAGTGCCACGGGGCGTGGTGCTCCAGGTAGCACAACACCTCCCCTGGCGTCATAGCTCGTTCGTACTCCATGGTTTGAGGGGCGAGTGATGCGTCGTCTTCCGCCCGCTGCCCCGTGTCAAATTCGAGCACGATCACGCGCCAGGTAGAGTCATCCGCAAAAGTTGGATTGATCTGCGCAACGGAGTGCTGCGAGTCCCACTCCTCGCTGAGGCGCATGGCGCCCGTGGTTGGGAGTGTAATCCACATGCAGCCGTCGGTGCGTAGCGTGTCATCGCACAGCAGGATGCACTGGAGCGTCCTCAGGTTTGTCACATGCACACGAAGCTCTGGCTCTGGGAACGAAGAAGATCGCACAGAGCCAACCCATTCGCGGTGCCAGGCGGGTGCCGAACCCTCATCCCACAATGGGCACTCTGTCGACGCCAGGGCACCGATGACGCCGCTCCAGCGGCCCACACGGGGCTCCCCGTCGGCTCCTGCCGGCCACACACACTCCAGCGCAAACAGATAATCGCTGAACTGCGTCTTGCACGGCGGGAGCGGCGCCACGGGCAAGTACTCCGCTCTGTCAGCCTGGAGCTGCGCGCGGTAGAGCGTGTAGCCAGCGACCGGGCCTGTGGCATGCTTCACAATAGCAGCGGCCCTCGGGAACCGCGCCAGTGCAAACGCGTGCCACAGCCGGTCTGTGACTTGCGCTCCCGCAGCGCGGACGGCATCGAGCCACGTCTTGCAGGTGGCCTGCATTGCCACGAACGTGGGCGCGTCGGCGTGGGTCGCAACCACCACTAGCAGCTCAGTGGGGAGCTCGAGCGCCATGTGAGCCCGCGCGCGCGTGCGGCGCGTGCGGCGCGTGCGGGTGCGTGCCCCGGGCGCCACCGTTTTTTTCTTTTTTGGTGACTCTTCTTAGCACTACATGCAGAGTAACTAGAACAGCTCAACCCAGTACATCTCACGCTCCGCAGCCTGTACTTCTCGCACGTATCGAGGCGGCCTCACACCAAGATCGTGCAGGGCGGGGATACAACATACATGCCCCGGTGGTCATGCTCCTGCACGCTCGTGTTCATGCTCCATTCAATCGCACCTCCAGCCACCAGGGGTGGCTGTGCGAGTCTCTCACCTCAGGAGAGCGGTGCCCTCGCAGACTCACTCAGAACGGCCCTACCTGCCTCCGCCCTCCTCGTGCTGCTTCTGAATCTCCGCCTGCTTCCTCTCGATCTCCTCCTCGAGCTTGATCAGCATCTCGACCGTGTTCCGCTCCGACCACAGCTGGCCGACCCCGTCCACGTAGCGCACGTTCGAAGGGTCGAGACCGTACCTGTCGGTCGACTCCCCCTCGCTCGAAAGCAGACCCTCCTCCGGAGCATGGTTCGGGTATGGGTGGGCCCATGCACGTTGAAGGACCCACACCGCCAGGCGAGGCAGGCAGATGAACCACAGGAGCCACCTGCCGGCGCCGACGCAAAAGGAGCCAACGAGCTCGCACGCCCCTCTGGTCCTGGCCCAGAGCCTCCTCAGCAGCTCAGGCGCGCCGGGGTCGACGAGGGTGCTGAGGGTGCTGAAAGGCAGACGCAGTAGGTTGAAGGGAGGTGGCGGCGTAAAGTACGTTTCGCCAAAATACTGCACCGCGAGCTGGGCTTTGAGGTACCGATTCTCGTCGTCTGCCTTGTCCCACACGTTGTCGAACGTCTTGGCCATGATTGCGATTAGCATATTGAGGAGCAATATCACTGACAGGGTGACATACACGCTCACGATAAACGGCGCCGTGAAGTGAAACTGCGCCCCCGCAATCAACCCCGCACAATCGATGCTCTCTGCCGGGTCGATGGCGACCTTGAGTAGCCGCTTGAGCGTCGACAGAATCCCCTGGCTAAAGTCACCGAACGGCTCGCAGCCCTCGACCTCCAGGACGTCTCTGACAGGGAAGAGCTGGTGCAGCGCGGCGGCAAAGGCGACGGCGCAGCCCACCATGAAGACCAGGAACTGGACCGTGTCGGAGAGCATCTTCTCGAGCATCACAGTCAGGGTGCCCAGCCCGCAGAGCGAGAAGATGCGCATGAACCAAGAGAGCCACATGAGGAGCAGGCCAAAGGATAGCATCTGTGTGTTGTACGCGGGGGCCAGCTTCGAGCAGAGGGCGAGGCCGATCCCGAAGAGCTCGCCCTTCTTGACGAGGTCGTTAGAGGAGAAGGTTTCGACCTCGTCGATCAAGTGCGCCAGCAGCCAGAGGAGTAGGCTCGAGAAAGACAGCGCGCTCAGCGCCAAGCTGCCAACCTCCTCGGCCACGGTAGCAAGCGCAGGCGCCATGCCCTCGAGGCCCTCAGACGAGAGCAGAGCCCAAGCGTCGGCCACAGCCCCGCACAGGCTCGGCGTCGGCATGAGCGTCAGCACGAGCGCGAGGAGAAGCCAGCTGAAGGACGAGATGGCGAATTGGAAGAATGGCGCGTCGAGCAGGTAGAGCGAGCGGGCGTACAGCTGCGACGAGGGGCTCCACTTGCGCTCAAAGCCCACCGAGTATGGGGTGCGGTGCGAAGAGACGAGTTCGAAACCGAAGTCGAGGAACCGAATCAGCGTGCCGCGCAGCGGAGGCCAGAGCGCCACGAACGGCAGGAAGAGCAAGTTAACGGCGGCCGCGAGCAGCAGCAGACCGGCGCGCGCGAGCGGCCGCCGCACCCGCTCCTCGTTGCCGTTTGGCGTGACGACGTAGCCGTTGAGAACGGAATCGATCAGCGGGCCGTACCACCGGAAGTTGACAGCGGCCTGCACGGTCGGGTCGCCCAGAAGCGTCTGCTGGCGCGGCGTGTCAACGGCGCGGGCCACAAAGCCGCGGGGTCGCCCCACCTTCGCCTTGCTGACCTCGGGGATCGTGGTCGCCCTGCACGGCTCGCGCTCGAGGAGAATCGTGCGCTGCACCACAGAGAGCGTCTTGAAGAGCTCGATCCCGAGGAGCTCTGCGCGGTCCGCCCTCCCTTGAAGCTGGTTGGCATCTGCGGGGCTGCTGCGCTCGCGCCGCGCGCGCACGATGTGCGCGCGCGCCGCGATCATGGTGACGTAGCACAAGGCCTCGCCGGCAGAGTGGCGGAAGAGCGCCGGCACCAGGGCGATGGCGGCGTCGAGCTTGTGTAGCAGCTGCTCGACGGAGAGCTCGTCGTCGTGCAACGCGAAGTCGATCGCGGTGGAGCCGTCCTGGGCCCGGGCCATGGGAGAGGCGCCTCGCCGCAGCAGCGTGCGCACCACGTCGCAGTGACCGAGCTTCGCAGCCATCATGAGAGGCGTCAGCGAGCTGCTGTCGGCAGGGACGTCGAGGCGGTTGATTTCCCCAGCGGCTCTGGGTGACAGCTCCGCCAGGGAGAAGCTGCGAGAGAGAATCCCCGTGCGAGAGGGCGCAGCCGCGGCCTTGTGTTTCGTGAGCTGCGACTCCACCAGCTCCTCCGGGAGCAGCCGGTCGTCCTCGATGAGCGACTCGACGAGCGAGGCGTCGCCCATTGCGACAGCGTCATGAAACATCGACCAATTGTGTGCGGCCGCAGCGGCGGCGGCGGCGGCGGCGGCATGGGCGCCGTCGGAGTGCTTGCGCGCCACCTCGACTGGCAACTTGACGCCGGCGGAGTCGAGGTCCACCCGCGCGCTCGCCCCGCGCAAGTCGTCCTCCGACTTGAGAATATAGTAGACCGCGCTGGCACTGCTGTCGTCGTCTGCGGCGGCCGAGGAGTAGGCAAAGGCGCCAAGCTTGATGGGGTGGGTGCCTGCACTCTCGCCGGGGTTGAGCCACATGAATGACCCCACGCCCGCGTCGCGGAGGAAGGAGAGCGTCACCGGCGTCCAATGCCCCTTCTCCGCGTGACAGCGTCGGAACCTCTCCTCCATCCGGTGCGGGCCCTTGAACTCGACGGCGTGGTTCTTCGAGTAGAGGTCCTTGGCGTTGACGTCAGGCGCGTCGACGTACGTCACACCCACCACCTTCGCGTCCTGCCCCTCGCAGTCGACGTACACGAAGCCGCCGTTCACCAGCAGCCGCACAAAAGGCTCGGTCTGCGGGTCACGGTTCCCGTCCTTGACCGTAATCTCGTCTAGCGGCCCGTAGACAAACGCCTGGTGCGTCGCGTCTTGCGGTATGCTCAGGCGACTGCGCGACTCCCATCCGACCACGACTGGCGCAAAAGGCGCGCAGCGGCAGCGCACCCACTCGACCCCCTCAGACTGCACCGCCTGCACCTGCGCGATTACCTCGGAGCGCAGGCTGCAGAAACCTGGCCCACCCAGCCGCAGCTCGACATGCGTCACGCTCGAAATGGCTGCGCTCGCGATGGCCTGCGCTTTGCTATGCTCCTCGCCGCAGCCAAGCGCGCCCACGCCCACGAACCGCACCGCCTCGAGGCTGAGCGTCAAGGGCCGGAAGAGGAGCCGGAGGGTCACGGCGCGCATTTTCTTCTCTAGCGTCGGCGCCTTGAGAATCTCGTCCGCCACCCGGTTCACCCAGATGCGGTGCGGCGAGAAGATGTGCCGGGTGGCGGCCACCCCGAGTTCAGAGATGTCGACCCATTTGACGCCGGGAGAGCTGATGTTGGTTTCGCTGTGCCCGTCGAGGTGGAACCTGTACACCGTGGTCTCGATCCACGCGTCGTCGGAGTTGCGCGAATCGTCGGTGTAGCCCTGGTAGAAGGGCAACAGGGGGGCGCGAGCGGAGGCGGGTGGTGTCGACGAGGCGTCGTTGTTGGCGCTGGCGAAGGCCACGTGCGCGCGGTCGCGCGGTCGCGCGCTCTCGGTGGCGCGCTCTCGCTCGCGCTCTCGCTCGCTCGCTCCGAAGAAAGTAGCAGAGGCGGAGGCGGCGGAGGCGAGAGAGGTGGCAGCGGAGGCGGTGGCGACGGAGGCGGCGGAGGCGGCGGAGGCGAGAGAGGTGGCAGCGGAGGCGGTGGCGACGGAGGCGGCGGAGGCGGCGGAGGCGGCGGAGGCGGCGGAGGACGCGATGCGGCTGACAGTGGAAGGCTTCGCGATGGCCTGGGTGGTGACAGTGGAAGGCTTCGCGGTGGCCTGGGTGGCAGCGACAGCGACCGGCGGCGAGGGAGGCAGGATGAGATCCGAAATCTCTCTGCTCACGCCCTTCTCTGCCAGCCCTCGTCGCATGGCAGTTTCGTCGCTCTCGCCGTACCTCACCATCGCACCGGGCAAAGCCCACGCGTTGCATTCGCGCCGCAGACTGGCGAGAAGCTGCAGCGTCTCCTTTGAGCCCGGCTTGAAGCGGGTGATGATGGGGTCCACCGCCTGGTTCGCGCCCGCACGCGCGTTTGCGCTCCACCCCCCGACGAGACCGGTCCGCCCACCAGGGTTGAGGCGAACCGCACCGGTGCCGCCTGGTTGAAACGACTTCTGCAGAGCCGCCGTCCAGTCCGAGCCTTGCTCGCCTGTTTTCCAAGCAAACGGGAACTCGGTCGTGCGCGGCGAGTATCCTGGCGCCGCCTCCGACCACGGCACATGCTCATCCTCCACCTCTGGCCGCTGGACCACGGCGCCTCGCTGCGTCGTCCGCGCCTCCACGTGCGGCGTTGGGATCCAGCCAACCATCTCTGCTTTGTCAACCTCCGTCACAGCGAAAGGAGGCCAAATGTCCGCTGCAGATCGACGAGGGCGTGCTGCCGGGAGCTTCGCGCTCCATGTCTTCATCAGCGAGCTCTCCCTCTCGCTGCGGCCTCCGCCGCGTTGATGCGCTCGCGACTTAAGTAACTAGGGAAGTCCCGCGGGTTTCGATTGGAAGCGGCGGAGGCGTGAACTCGCCGAAGGAGGCGGCAAGGTGCGACGCGGCGTGAACTCGCCGAAGGGGACAACGCGCGCGATTTTTCTCTTTTTCATCTTCGCGTTCTCGCAGGAGTCGCTTAGGCAGCTCCCTGGTGGCGGCTCCGCCGGCGGCGGGGGTGGAGGCGGAGGCAGGGGTGGCGGGCACGGTGGCGGCCCTCGCGGCCAAAACGCCTGGTGTGGAGCCGCTGGGGCGGCCCCACGACCCTGCAGCCGCTCCAGCGGCGGGGGAGGAAGTGGCAGTGTGCGTATACCAGACTTTTTCTTCATTTCCTGTGTCGAACCTGTGTGCTGTGCGAGAGAGTTTGGCGCTTGAATTCTTCATTTTTCGGCCGAAGCCCTTGCTTGAGCGCCGTCCGGCCGCGCTCGTCCTCGCCCTCTCGCCCCGCCTGGGCTGCTCCCCCGACAGCGCACAGCCATGCTGGATGGCGTCTTCGGTACGGGCAAGACGCCCGCCGAGCGCATCAAGGAGTACAACCGCCAGATCAAAAAGTCGGTCCGCGAGATCGACCGCGAGCGGACCGCGCTCGAGCGGCAGGAGAAGAAGCTGCTGGCGGACATCAAGAAGGCGGCCAAGGACGGGCAGATGGACTCGGCCAAGATCATGGCCAAGGACCTGGTGAGGACGCGGGGCTACATCAAGAAGATGTTCAAGATGAAGGCGCACATGGAGGCGGTCAGCCTGCGGCTGCAGACGATGTCGTCGTCGGCGCAGATGGCGCAGTGCATGAAGGGGGTGACAAAGGTGATGGGCAAGATGAACGCGAAGATGTCGAGCGCAAACATCCAGAAGATCATGATGGAGTTTGAGAAGCAGAACGAGATGATGGGCATGAAGGAGGAGATGATGGGCGACGCGATGGACGACGCGTTTGCCGACGAGGAGGCGCGCGGGGGGGGGGGCGGGAGAGAGAGGGAGAGGTGTGGGGATGCGGGGAGATGCGGGGAGATGGCGGCCGTATCCAGGCTCCCCGGCCACAGTGGGGGGCCGGGCGGCGACGGAGGAGGCGGAGGAGGCGGCGGCGCGGCGGGATGGGTGCGCGGCGGAGGAGGAGGCTGAGTGGATTGGGCTTACCTCATCCCAGCGCTGCGCCCCATCGGATCGCCCCTCGCCTCCCGCGCCATCACCGCCGCCGCCCTCTCCGCCACCTCTCTCGCCACCGCCGCCCTCACCCCTCTGCCGACCCGCCCGTACTCGGAGCAGGAGGAGACACTGCCTCCTCGAGGTGTGAAGAGGCGCCGTTCACACCTTGTGCTGTGAACAGGACTCGGAGGAGGAGGACTCCATCCTCGGCTCTGTGCTGGCCGAGATCGGCGTCGAGCTCGACAACAAGATGATGGGCGCCTCCACCGCCCCGATGCAGGCCTGCCCACCGGCCCCTCACCCCTTCTGTAGTACTCCCTCTCTAGTGCTGCTGACCACCACTGCCCCCGATGCGGCCGTATTGCCATCACCTGCTACTTTCCATGGATGAGTCTCTCGGCACCGATCGCGAGACTGACTGCCGACCACCGCGCCCGATGCAGGCGGCAGCGAGCACCGCCGCCGCCGAGCCGCAGGGCGCGCGAGATGTCGCCGAGATGCAGCGAGATGCCGCCGAGTTGCAGCGAGATGTCGCCGAGTTGCAGCGAGATGTCGGCGGTGTGTGTGGGGCGGCGATCGTGACGAGCGGAGTGTCGCTTTCGCAAGCCCCGCGGCAGCGGCCAGGCAGTCGAGGCTGCTGCAGGAGACGCGCCAGAGGACGGCACGCCCCCCTGCGGCAGGTGTGCCCGCCGTGGGCGGCGGCGGCGACGACTTGGACGCGGAGCTGCAGAAGAGGTCCTCCCGGAGACCGCCGAGATTGCCAGAGATCGACGAGACGGCCAGAGACTGCCAGAGATTGCCCAAGGAAGGAGGGCAGATCGTCGTGTCCCCGCCAGCACTCGAGAGGACGCGGAGTCTCCGCTCGTGCGTTGACGCGCTGCAGACACGGTACAGACACGGTACGATGCGGGTCTCACGCCCTGGCTGTGGTGATGGCGTAGGTTGGACAACCTCCGGCGTACCTGATCTCGCGACGTCTGCTCTCTCGCTCTCCTCCGCTCCCTCGCCCTCTCGCTCCCTCTCGCTCTCCTCCGCTCCCTCGCCCTCTCTCGCTCCCTCTCGCTCCCTCCTCTCCCCCTCCCTCTCCCTCTCCCTCCTGCCTCTACGTCCCCTCCCTCCCTCCCCTCTTCCCCCTCCCCTCCCTTCCTCCCTCCCCCCTCTGCTGCTGCTGCTGCTGCTGCTGCTGCTGCTGCCGTACTATCAAGGGGGAGGGGGGGGGGCATTTCGGAGAGGCTCCGAGGGAGGTTGGCCCGCCGACCCCGCTTCGGCCTCGGCGAGGGTGCGGGTGCGGCGCGAGGAGGGGGTGCTTGGGGTGTGTGAGTTAAGACGGTCAGCCGGTCTCTTGTCATGTGGTCCTGAAGAGAAGAGTCGTGATCCCTGATCCCCCCTCGATCTGTAAGGAATACGGCTTTAACCTTTAAGGTAAAGTATAAGCGGTATAAACCTTCCATCGCCTGACACACAAGACGAGTATTGCCGTACACATGCCTCCCCCAGTCCCCAGACTATACGGCTTTCACTCCGCAACGGTTGCAACAATGCAAGAGACGTACGGTGTACCACACACCGTGACGTCCAGGAAAGCTGAGTATGGGCTATGGCTACTCAGTCGAGCACATGGCGCTCCAGAACAAAACACACAAAGTTTCCGGCGAAAACTACCTCGTCGCCTCGCGTCACCGTGACATCTACAAGCCGCTTCTTGCCCTTCTCCCCGCTCACCTTGGCTTCGGCCGTCAGGCTGTCACCGCACTTCACTGGCTTGAGAAAGCGAGCCTCGGCAGAGCCTAGGACGACGTTTGGATCGTTGACAGCACACATCGCCGCGTAGTCCGCCAGTCCAAAGTAGAAGCCACCGTGCGTCAGTCCTCGGCCGTCAGCGCTCATGGTCGGAGTTGTCGTCATAGAGACCCTGGCGAAGCCTGGGCGCAGCTCGACCGGCGACCCGCTGAGCGTTCTGTCGATGCCGAGGTGAGTGTTTAAGCTGGTGGTGCTGCACGCGCGGCGCTGAAGCACCGAGCAGCCCACGCTGGTGGTGCTGCACGCGCGGCGCTGAAGCACCGAGCAGCCCACGCTGGTGGTGCTGCACGCGCGGCGCTGAAGCACCGAGCAGCCTCGCGCCGCAGCTCGCAGCATGCCAGTGAAGCGCCCCTCCCCACCGCCTCTCCCCCCCCGGAGGGTGGGGGGGGGGGGCGGTTTCGAGTCACCGTTAGAGGGAACCTCGAGTACTGCCGCCCGCCCTTCGTGCTCGGAAAATTCTCTATTTTATGGAGCTAAGTGCGCCTCGCCGCCCTCGCAGGAGTCGCTTAGGCGGCTCCCGTGGTGTGTTAGTGCCAGTGCGCGCCAGTCCCGTGCCCAGTGTCGTGCGAGGGAGTTTTGTTGTAAAACTCTAGTTTATTCTGAACTCTATTTTATTCTCGAGTCAGGTAATGAACTCGGGGGCACGGGACGCGGCACACAAACGGGGCACAAACGCCAGGCTAGCTAGAAAGACGTGGAGGCACGTAGTGACGCAAGTGAGTCCAGGCGACTGTGGCGTCCTCCGACGGTGTGAAAGCAGACGCTGAGCGGCGCTCGACCGGCGGTTTCAGCCCGGGTCTGGGAGGGAAGTGTGTATGACGGAGCCACTGCGTCTTGGGCTTCGCCATCACGCGCGAGACGCAGTAGCGGAGGCGTGGCGTGCGCCCGTGTTGCCGCAGGTGGCGGCGCGCGAGGCGACATGACGAGCCGATCGCGGCCAGTGCTTCGGTAGCACTCAAGTCTCTGAGCTCGCTCTCTGCTCCGGGTCGCGGTTGGGGTGTGTCCCAGCGCGCCGCCTCCAAGCGTTATACTGGGCTGGGTCTTTAGGCATTGTGGGGTTGGCACTCCCATCGACCCTCATGACCTCCTGCGGTCTCTGAGACGGACACTAGTGGGTGTGGGACCACAGGCAGGATACACTCGAAGACTGGGTAAGCAGTAGAGGTCGATACTCGACGCGTCCCACATGGTCTGTGTCGCTGTCGGCACGCTGTCGACAGGACGTCGAGCGACACCGGTGGCAGTGCCACCCAGGAGTGGTCGGGCGGTCTCCCGTCATGAGAGAGCCACCATGTGATCCGTATGATGGTTCCTGACAACCGCCTCAGTCAACTTTCGTCACAGTTCCCGCTCTGAGAGGAGCTGCGGGTTGGCCAAAGTACAGGTTTCGATCCGGGCCACCGCAAATTTTGATCAGCAAATTTCGAGGAGCGGCCGCAAATTTTGAGGTAGATTTTGATTGTCAAAACGTGTCCGTCTTGGCACAGGATAGAGCATATAGGCGGCGAACATCCAGGTGCGCAGGGACATCGCGACTCTGCCCGCTCGCTCGACCCTTTTGCCGCGAGAGGGCGCCGGCCGCGTGTAAGAGGTGGCTGGCGCCCTGAGGCGGCAATTGGTGGCGTGGCTGGGGAGTGCGGAACGCTACTGGCGGCGTGACAGGGCCTCTCTCGATTGCGTGTGCCGCCCATCGGCACGCGGGTGCGCAGACATCGCGACTCTGCCGCTCGCTCGACCCTCTTGCCGCGAGAGGGCGCCGGCCGCGTGTAAGAGGTGGCTGGCGCCCTGAGGCGGCATTTGGTGGCGTGGGGAGTGCGGAGAACGCTACTGGCGGCGCGACAGGGCCTCTCTCCGCTGTGTGCGCCGCCCATCGGCACGCAGGTGCGCAGACATCGCGACTCTGCCCGCTCGCTCGACCCTTTTGCCGCGAGAGGGCGCCGGCCGCGTGTAAGAGGTGGCTGGCGCCCTGAGGCGGCATTTGGTGGCGTGGGGAGTGCGGAACGCTACTGGCGGCGCGACAGGGCCTCTCTCGGTTGCGTGTGCCGCCCATTGGCACGCGGGTGCGCAGACATCGCGACTCTGCCCGCTCGCTCGACTCTTTTGCCGCGAGAGGGCGCCGGCCGCGTGTAAGAGGTGGCTGGCGCCCCGAGGCGGCATTTGGTGGCGTGGGGAGTGCGGAACGCTACTGGCGGCGCGACAGGGCCTCTCTCGGTTGCGTGCGCCGCCCATCGGCACGCTGGTGCGCAGACATCGCGACTCTGCCCGCTCGCTCGACCCTTTTGCCGCGAGAGGGCGCCGGCCGCGTGTAAGAGAGGTGGCTGGCGCCCTGAGGCGGCATTTGGTGGCGTGGGGAGTGCGGGGAACGCTACTGGCGGCGCGACAGGGCCTCTCTCCGCTGCGTGTGCCGCCCATCGGCACGCGGGTGCGCAGACATCGCGACTCTGCCCGCTCGCTCGACCCTTTTGCCGCGAGAGGGCGCCGGCCGCGTGTAAGAGGTGGCTGGCGGCCTGGCGCCCTGAGGCGGCATTTGGTGGGGTCAGCGTGCGGTGCTGAGTCTTACTCGTCGGCGTTGGGGCCAGATCCCAGCGCAGAACTCTGCAACGCTGGCATACAAACACAAGAAGACTAACCCTAACCCTAACCCTAACCCTAACCCTCTAACCCTAATAACCCTAACCTATAACCCCACCCCCCAACTCCACAGTCCACACCGCAAATTTGAAAGATCTTGATGAAAATCAGGCCCGACCGCAAATTTCTTCAAAATTTTCGCAGGCGTTCCGCGCATGCAGATTTTGAAATAAATTCGACAAAATTGGTACCTGGCCCAAGCTGCGGGTCAGTTCGACAGCTGGAGCTGTGTCGCCGGCGTGCGGCGGCCTGCCTCCGGAGGTGCCTCTGAGGTGGACATTTTTTGGTCACCGTGCGAGAACGCGTTCGAATTTTCACTCCGGAACTTCAACTCCGCACGCGCACCGGCCAGGGCTACAATAGTGCCAGTGAGGCGGAGGCGCGAGTCGGAAGGCCGCGACCGTCAAGTGGTTTCCCAATTTTCCTACAATCGCTGTGGACCCAGCCACGTAACGTTAAGAAAGTGTATACACCTTACGCGAGACAGCCCACGCCCACGCGCCCCACAGCCACACCTCAGCCGCGGCGCCTACGAAAGCATTTGTTTTGTGATGAAAACTTCCTCCAGTAAGGTAAGTTAAGGTAACGTAGATTTCTCCACACACACAAAGTGGTGGGGCAAGGGGGGGCGACCCTCGCACAACACGCACACACATATAGGCGCTTTGGGGCTCACTTGGCGGCGGCGTCACTTACGACTTAGGTGAGTGATGGGTCTTGCGCGCGGCGGAGAGAAGCACGGTGCGTTCTGATCGCCACAGGAAAGAACACCTAACCAAACGCTACACTCTCAAGCACTCAAGAGAGCTCTCCGCCCCCGCGCCCACTCCGACTTGTGCGACACTCTGAGACCACACTGGACTGACCACGCTCGCGACTCCCACCCGTCTGACACACGCGCCTGCGCGGTCCTGCAGAGAGCGCGCGCGGCAGTACTCTGCCCCTACCTCACACCGCCCGCGCCTCGCCCTCCTTTGCCTCCCGCAGAAAGCAGCACTCAAAGTGGCGCGCGGGCGTGAGCGGGCACAACGTGCCGTTCCAGCGCGGGACGTAGCCGCGCCACGAGCCGGCCGGCCGCTCCGGCAGAGGCGGGGGGGCGTCGCACGCCACTCGCGCCCTCGTCCAGCCCCACGAGGCGCACGTCTGCGAGCAGTCCGCCACGACGCGCGGCAGCGGCGCCGCGACGTCCCACGCCGCACGCACCCTTGCCCACAGCGCCTCGTCGACGACCTTGTGCACCACGATCGCCTTGGCCGACATCGGCGGCGAGAAGGCGGCCTCGTTGAACCACGGCCAGAACCACCCCTTCTCCGGCAGGTGCACGACGTACACCTTCCGCCCGCCGACCCCGCCGCCGGCGCCGCCCCCCGCGCCCTGCGCCGCGCCGGCGGGCGGCGCCGAGGGGGAGCCGTCCCCGGTCGACGCGGCGATGCCGCGCGCCAGCGAGCGCCACACGTTGTACGACACGCCGGCGTCCTCGTGGTGCCACATGTGCGTCGCGGGCGGGTGCGCGGCGCACGCCGCCGCAGTCTGGCACGGCGCGCCGTAGTCGTTCCTCGCGCGCGCGACGGCGAGCCACTCCCCGAACCGCTCGTCGCGCGCAGTCAGCAGGGCGAGTGCGCGCGACATGCACGTCAGCGTGCCCGTCCCCTGCGGGAACGGCCCCTCGGCGCGCGCGCAGTGGTTGGCCGGGTCCTCCATCTGGCGGATCGCGTCCAGCGGCCCCCCCCACCCGCCGCCGCACGCCTGGGCCAAGGCACAGCCGAGGCTCGGCCGAGATGTGAGAGAGGCGGCCGAGAGGCGGCCCTCCCGACCCGCCGCCGCACGCCTGAAAGTCGTAGTGCGGCAGCCAGCCTGTTCGCAGCCTTGGTATTGAGAAGGAGATGCCTCCTCTGGCGCTGTGCGCTGGTCTGTGAGAGGACGACGTGCGAGCCTCGCCAGCGGATGTACGACAGCATCACCAGCGGCCCGTCGCCTAAGAAGGGCGAGGTGAGCCGAGATGCGCCGAGATGCGCCGAGATGAGCCGAGGTGAGCCGAGGCCACCCGCGGCTCGCCGCCTCCGGCCGCCGCCGCCGCCGCCCGCAGCGACGCCGCGAGGTGCGCGTTGTGGATCAGCGAGTCGTCGTCTGTCTTGCAGAGGAATCGTGCACATCTCGGCCGCATCTCGGCTGCATCTCAGCTGCATCTCGGTGGTATCTCACATCTCGGCTGTATCTCGTAGCTCGGCTGTCTCGCCTGTCTTGCAAAAGAACTCGGCGGAGGAGCGGCGCGGCGCGGAGAGCCACCAGGCCGCCGACTTCTCGCTCGCCTGCGGGGAAGGTTCCGAGAAGCTTCCTGTGCAAGGGTCCCGGAAGCGCCAACCGCCCGGCTCCTCGCTCGCCTTGCCCACGTTTGGGATCGCCTCCCGCGCGGCGACGAAGCGCAAGTCGCCAAACTGGTCCGCCTATGAGCTCACAGAGTTGTCGCTCCTCGGCCGAGGCATGACTAGCTCCTTCTCGGTCGCCAGGCTCGTCCACCTCCGCAGCGAGCTTCTGCGAGAGCCGGGCCGGAGGCGTCTTGTGGTGCTCGCTGCCAACAACAAACTCGACGCCCACCTGCGGCCCGCGGCCTGGCACGCGCCCGTCGCCGCGCCGACCGCCGGTCTGCGCGTTGAACCGCCGCAGCAGCGCCCGCTGCTTGAAGTTCGGAGGGTTGGAGATGACGCCGAGCAGCACGTAGGGCGCGTCGGCAGATGCGGCGGCCTGCGCCGTGCCGTCGCGGTGGCCGCGGCTGGCGCCGAGCCCCTCGAGGCGGCCCTCGATGCTCGCGATGCCCTCTTCGATGCCGTCCTCACTGCCTTCACTGCCGCCGCCGCCGCCAGCGCCAACTGCGCAGCTCGCCTCACCTCCGCCGACCCAGCCGCCGCCGTGCGTGGCGGTGAGGTGACCGCCCAGGTAGCCGAGGCAGAGACACAAGATCGTCTTGAGCACGCGCCGCTCAGAGTCGAGGAGACTCATCCGCCAAACCGAGGATCGAAGCGCCCGCACAGGGGGCCAAAAGAATTTACGTGCATCTTACTCAAAACTCCCTCGCACATGAGGCCCGCATAGTATGTGGGAGACTCGTGCCGCCGCCCCTGCCACCCCTGTGTCAGTGTGCCTGTGGTAGGAGAGACTGCCAGCGACAAGCTGGAGGCAGGTCGCTAGACTGAGATGAGACCGCCAGTGGATGTGGGAGTCCACCGCGCACCGCGCTGCGAGCCTGTCGTGTCCCTTGTCAGGAGCAGGAGAGCCCCACCTGTCCCCCTGATCGTTCTTCCAAAATCCTGCTCGTGCAGGTGGGGACCCTGTCCTCGTCCCATCCCTCGTTTGGCGTGTCTGTTTTCTTTCTTTCTTTCTTTCCCTCGCACACACACCTCTCCTTAAAATCCCTGTGTGGTGGCGGCGTGCCGTCCTCCCATCCCTCCCTTGGGTTGTCTGTTTTCTTTCTTTCTTTTTTCCCTCGCACAAGAAACCGCGAGAACAAGGGACCGGCAGGCGGCGGCGTCACAGGACGAGGCAGAAGAGAACGACGCGACAGAGGAGGAAATGACAAGGGAGAGAACGACGAGAGTGGGACGACCGCGAGGTGGCATGAAGGTTGCAGCGAGAAGCGGCGAGATACTGCGAAGAGAGATAGGAAGAGGCAGACTCCCTAGGGTGGGCGACGGCTAGCGCACCACACACCTCTCCTTAAAATCCCTGTGTGGTGGCGGCGTGCCGTCCTCCCATCCCTCCCTTGGGTTGTCTGTTTTCTTTCTTTCTTTCTTTTTCCCTCGCACAACACGCGCTGGTGTCCAGTCCGAGCCTGACTGTTGTTCATCTTTCTACCTACCTACCTACAACACTGGGCACAGGACTGGGCACGGGACTGGCGCGCACTGGCACTAACACAGGTACACCACTGGAGCCGCCTAAGCGACTCCGGCGAGGACGGCGAGGCACTTAGCTCCGTGCACTCGACCGCCCTCGCCGCAGGCAAGCTCATTCACAATCTGCTCTGCGATGGCCGTGTGAAGAACGACTGAGATGCGCTGCTTCTGCAGCCCCAGCCAGCTCTTGGTGGTCCAAGTCACCTCATCGAGGTACTGAGCCCGCGTCAGCTTGTTCTGCAGCACGTTCGCTGCGTCCCAGAGGATCGCGCGGACCCCCTTCCCGAACCCACCGAACGACTCGAACAGCAGCAGCCGCACGTCGACACCCTTGTCCTCCCTGGCGTAGCGATACTCGCCACCATAGGACGGTATGCGGCGATCGCCGCCCACTACCCTGCCCCCCCTAGTATGCCACCGACCAGTCCCCTGCCCCCTCTCGCCCTTGCTCTTCCTCTCTCCCTCCATTCCCTCGCCCCCATACCCCTCGCACTCCCCTCCATCCCCCTCCCCTCCCTCCCTCCCCCTCGCCTTCCTCTCCCTCCTCGCGGTAGGGCCCATGCCCCTCGACCATGTTCCGGTAGAACGCCTCGGTGTTGCCGAAAGCGACAAAAGCGCCCTTCCGACCATGCTCCCCGCCGCTGGTGAGGGGGCAGACAAACTTGACATCGCCTGAAAAGCGCTTGCCGCCCCTGGGGTGAAATTCTCAAAAAGGTGCAGCACTTCTAGCCGACATCGACAAAAGTCCCTCTCTAGGCAAGTCCGTCACTGTCCGTGACCCACTGATTTTGGTTCGTGTAGGGTCGATCAACAAATTCCAATGGACTGTTCGCAGAGGGACCGCGTGGCGGCCATCAGCCTCTCCACTCCTTTCTGTGCTGCACTCATGGTGATGTGCTGCACGTGTGTGTCACCCGCTGCTGTGAGTGCCGTCGAATGAACACCCGTCCGTCCCCCCTTGTCTCGCGACAAAAAACGTGGCGCGGCTTTGGGCACTCCCACGTTGGGTTGCCCTGCCCCTCCCGATGCACTTGAGCCACCGCAAGCTTCTGCATACCTAAAATTATAGCAGCGTTTATTCGTTTCCACTGCGACCCATCCTCATCAGGAGAGTGATACTAAGCATCTGACGACGCGATACAAAAATAAATTGGGTTCGTCGAGAACGAGCCCTACACCGTCCGTGCCAGGAATGGGTGGGGTGTGGCCCCAATTCGTGCCCGCTCCACCACAAGTTGGAGTTAACTCTTGTGGTGGGGGAGGGCCGGGCCCATGGCATGCACCGTCAACCGCACTGGGTGTCTCTGAGGTTCGACCGAGGGAGGACCGGGCCGGGTGTGGGTGGTCCAAGGGAAACGCCGTGCTCCACAGGGATACAAAGGAAACGATAATTAGTTGGACTTCCCGTCCCGAAAACCGCGGCATGTCGAGGGTGACGTGACGTCACTGAGGCACGGGCTGCTCCAGTACATGATACCAAGAGACCAAGTGTGGGGCTCAGAAGAGGTAGCCCGGTCGAACACTGCCCAAACAAATAAATTCCCCCTTTGAGCTGAGAGGTTTTGGGATTTCGCTCCGAGCGACGGTCCAACGAGAATCGTCAAAATCAGGCAACAAGAGACCGGTAGCGCCAGCATGTCGGTGCGTCTTTCTCATGCTCGCGCGCCCGCCGCGCCCAAACTATGCACGGGCCCGGCTCGCCCGCTTGGGGATCCACCCGGCACATCCCCGCCCCCCACCTGCCGGCTTGCCTGCCGTCAGTTCACGGGGGATCGCCCTCAATTGTCAGCAACACAAATCCACCAGTTTTTGGGCTGCCTTCAGCCTCGCCTCGCCTCACAGCCGACCTTCTGGTCGTACGCGGGTTCTTAAGGGTCGTACATGCCGGCCATGACGTCTGCCAACCGGCCGTTCGCAGGCGGTAGCTTCGCACGCCCCCGACAGCTCCGAGAATGACCCGCGCGAGAAGTGCGCGTCGGCGGCGCACTTTTCCTCCCAGGCTGTGACTGCTGCCCTGGCCACCCTGGCCTCCCTCGAGGGGTCGCCAGGACCCGCCGCGGCCCTGGCGCGGCCCACGGGCGGCTTGATGCTCATCGACGCCTTCACCCTCGTCGGCCTGGCCGGAAAATACGCCAGCCGCTCGGGTGCCGCCCGCCTCCTAGAGGCCGAACCACCAGTGCTGTGAGTATTGACGCCCTCCCTGCACCTCAGGCGCGTCCCTCGCCCTCGCCGCCGCCGCCGCCGAGCCCGCCGCCGCCCTCGCCGCCGCCGCCCTCGCCGCCGCCACCGTCGCCGCCACCGCCGAGCCCGCGCCGCCGTCGCCCCCTCTGCCGGCGCCTTCTCCGCCCTCGCCACCCCCACTGTCGCCTTGCCCCCACCAAGCCAACCACCGCCGTCGCCGCCGCCGCCCAGTCCGCCTCCGCGTCACCGCTGCCTCCCTCGCCGCCGCCCCCAAGCCCGCCACGGCCGCTGCCGCCGAGCCCGCCGCCGCCATCGCAACCGCCTCCGAGCCCGCCGCCACCAAGCCCCCCCCCCCCA